ACACAACACTACAAAATAATACAATGTGAGCAAGATATTAGTTTGCTGCAGAGGGGTTTAGATAGACTGGGGGGACTGTGCACTCAAATGGCAGATGAAATTTAATGTTGAAAAATGTAAAGTTATGCACTTTGGCGTAAAGAATACACAAGCAAAGTATACCCTTAATAGAAGTGAATTATGTATAACAACACACGAAAAGACAACAACTATGCAACAATGTGCAATGTCAATCAGCAGTGGCCAAGGCCAGTAAGGTGTTGTCATGCATAAAAAAGGGTATTCATTCTCGGGACGAGAATATAATTTTGCCTCTTTAACCCCTTAAGGACACATGACATGTGTGACATGTCATGAATCCCTTTTATTCCAGAAGTTTGGTGCTTAAGGTGAGACCACATATTGAATATGCTGTGCAATTTTGGGCACCTGTTCTAAAGAAGGATATTATGGCACTAGAAAAAGTGCAGAGGCGGGCTACAAAATTAATAAAAGGAATGGAACATATCAGCTATGAAGAAAGGTTAACAAATGTAAACCTATTTAGTTCAGAAAAACGTCGCCTGAGAGGGGATATGATAACATTAAATCCCTTTCCTCAGATGTTGAGATTAGTACTGTATCAAATATTCTATACTCTGCCTTTGGGTTTTTATGTCCAAGATGCATTATCCTGCACTTAATTTTCTCCATCTTTTTATATTATTGCATCTTATTTACATTTTCCCCATATTTTATACATTATTATTCAAACCTGATTTTCAGATTTATAATTTAGATTACATATGATTGCTAATATGTAGTGTGCTAGTAAGGATAATAGGTAATTTTGTAGCAAAGTGTGTGACATATATATACATGTGCAGTTCATCGTTCGTATATACATATTTTTTTTTTATCAATTTGTCTATTGTTAAATATTGGTACCTGGGGAAAATTCTGGTTATTTCCCCCTTGTTTTGTGGACATGATTGTATTAACATCTGCATGTCCACACAGCAGAAGGAAAGCATCTCCTAAGAGATATGTAGGGAATTGCGTATTGATTCTTGATCGTTATAAAATATTAATTTAAGTTCTCTTTTTAGTAGATGGGAAGGTGTGGGTGTTCCCGAACGTGTGGGTGATTTTGTATTGCAGGTCGGAATATGGTTGTTTCGAGTGTCATCTTAATGCGTTCCACAGTGGAAGGCACAGCCATTTCCAAAGGGTGACGAAAGCGGAAGTCGTCAGTGCAATGCAGAAACACACACTGATCTTCAGCAAAACAGCATCATCTGTTCGTCGGAAACCCGAACAAGTAATTACACATGCAACAGGACTATGACGAAAGCAACTTCGCCACTGGTTTTTGGAGAGGATTAATGGCCAGCCTTTTACTGTGTGATTATAACCCCTGTGACTTATTTGGCTGTAAGGCACTGCCTCTGCCTCTTTTACTGCTATTGGAACAGATTTACGCTTTCAAAGTGGCACAGCTGAAGTGTCGAAGTACTCCAAGTGGCCACCATGCAACATTCGAACACGTGGCAGCGGACATTTTATTTAGTCAAACGAGTTCAGCTGCGCTTTGTCATCGAGTTCATGGAATTCAAATCGGACATGCAACAGCACGAACACCGCTGAAAAGTTACCTTCTCTGGGACTTCCACTCTTTGACAGGAGTCAAACAGCATCAACAATTCCAACGGCACTTCAACATTGACTTTGTGCACGAACAGTCCTGTCCGACTATTTTAAGTGATTTATCATTATTGGAAATAGACCCGGTGCACAGCCTAATTCTCTGGAACTGTTTTGGGCATGAAATCATGCGTGCGGTCGGTCAAAAGAGACTTCCAGGAATTTCCTGAACCCCTGCTCTGATCTGGGTGATTTTTGGATATGTTGCTCACCCAGATCAGGGCTATCAGGGGACATTTATGGAGATGTTCAATGTTTTGGGGGTGTTTCAGTACTTTTGAAAAAGGTGTTCTTTCTGCTTGGGGATAATTGAGTTAATTACAGTATCTTGCTCAATTATCTCCCAAGCAGAGGGGAGGGATTGTGTGCTGTATGTGGGAGTGTCAGACACTGTACATTGTGTTTATTGGTTTGGCATCTTATAATTTGGTGCTCCATCAGGTCCACGGGGTGTTGTATAAAAAGCAATTGTATAAAAAACAAGCTTGTGCCATTAAACTGCCAGACCTTCTTACCCTCAACTTGCAGCCTTGTCTCATGTTGTAGGGAACAGCTATAATCACTACAGGAAATACTATAATCATTATACTCCCTCTAATCACTAGTTCTTGTAAGAGCTCTACAGCTGATCCTGCTATTCTCTCTTGGAGAAGAGGGTTACCCAATGGAACCTGGAGCTTTGTCATAGGTCCAGGATGGACAGAAGACGGTGAAACCCCAGCCAAGCTGTGGCAGTTTGTGGGGTCTGCAGTGCTTATGGCGTCTGGTGCAGTGCTGATGGTCCTTGGTGAGCACTAATTGACGGAGGGTCTGTCGCAAGGACTAATTGAATACTAATTGAAGGAGGAAGACACCCGCTGGACCATCAATGAACTGGAAGATTAACCCTATTTAGAGGGACTGACAGGTGGGAGGGTTAGGCTGTTAATTTTTACTTGTTTTGATTATTTATTAATACTGCTGATATATTTGGTCCATGAGGAAGTCCCATATACTAGGGATGAAACGCGTAGGACCTACAGCTTATTTTATATTATTTTAAACTTTATTTTATTTGTCAATATATTGGGTGTATGGGCCATAGTCACATGGCAGGAGGCTGGCAATCAGTCTTCTCCAATGCCAGTAGCGAGGCTGGTTCCGCTACATTTCTCCCCTCTCCCAAAAAGACTAACAAGGTATCTGGCCTCTTGTCGGTCAGTGCCTTGGTTAGTCCAGCAACCCACCCACAATGAAAAGTTACTGCACCTGGGGAAATGTGCAGCCAGTCTTTGTCCAGGGGCTCCATCACGGCTTTGTGGGGTATGGGTACTCCGGATCTATGGGTTGCTGAGTGGGCAGAGACCACCGGTACTCTGCCCTGATGACAGCGCTTCAGCTGGAGTAGTCTCGTTGGAGCCCAGCTGTGAAGAGGGGGTAGTAGGCTCCTCTCCCTCTCCCTGGACCCTGCTGGAGGGGGAGACCGACTGTCTCCCCTTTTGATAAACAGTCCTGCTACCCCGCACCCCTGTAGACCGTCAAAAGTAAAGACAAATAAGTCAAAGGGACCTGATGGAATACACCCAAAGCTATTAAAAGAGCTTAGTGGTGTACTAGCAAAACCATTAACAGATTTATTTAACCAATCATTGGTAACAGGAGTAGTCCCAGAAGATTGGAAGTTAGCGAATGTTGTGCCCATTTACAAGAAAGGTAATAGGGAGGAGTCGGGCAACGTGATGGAAACCATGTTAAAGGATAGGATTGATGAACATCTAAAAACACATGGATTTCAAGATCAGAGACAACATGGGTTTACTTCAGGGAGATCATGCCAAACTAATCTTAATGATTTTTTTGATTGGGTAACTAAAATAATAGATCAGGGTGGTGCAGTAGACATTGCTTACCTAGATTTCACTAAGGCTTTTGACACTGTTGCACATAGAAGGCTTATCAATAAACTGCAATCTTTAAGTTTGGATTCAAATATTGTTGAATGGGTAAGGCAGTGGCTGAGTGACAGGCAACAGAGGGTTGTAGTTAATGGAATATATTTGAAGCTTGGACTTGTCACCAGTGGGGTACCTCAGGGATCTGTACTTGGACCCATTCTCTTTAATATTTTTATTAGTGATATTGCAGAAGGTCTTGATGGTAAGGTATGTCTTTCTGCTGATGATACTAAGATATGTAACAGGGTTGATGTTCCAGGAGGGATAAGCCAAATGACAAATGATTTAGGTAAACTAGAAAAATGGTCAGAATTGTGGCAACTGACATTTAATGTGGATAAGTGCAAGATAATGCATCTTGGACGTAAAAACCCAAGGGCAGAGTACAGAATATTTGATAGAGTCCTAACCTCAACATATGAGGAAAGTTATTTAGGGGTGATTATTTCTGATGACTTAAAGGTAGGCAGACAATGTAATAGAGCAGCAGGAAATGCTAGCAGAATGCTTGGTTGTATAGGGAGAGGTATTAGCAGTAGAAAGAGGGAAGTGCTCATGCCATTGTACAGAACACTGGTGAGACCTCACTTGGAGTATTGTACACAGTACTGGAGACCGTATCTTCAGAAGGATATTGATACCTTAGAGAGGGTTCAGAGAAGGGCTACTAAACTGGTTCATGGATTGCAGGATAAAACTTACCAGGAAAGGTTAAAGGATCTTAACATGTATAGCTTGGAGGAAAGACGAGACAGGGGGGATATGATAGAAACATTTAAATATATAAAGGGAATCAACACAGTAAAGGAGGAGACTATATTTAAAAGAAGAAAACTACCACAACAAGAGGACATAGTCTTAAATTAGAGGGACAAAGGTTTAAAAATAATATCAGGAAGTATTACTTTACTGAGAGGGTAGTGGATGCATGGAATAGCCTTCCAGCTGAAGTGGTCGAGGTTAACACAGTAAAGGAGTTTAAGCATGCGTGGGATAGGCATAAGGCTATCCTAACTATAAGATAAGACTAGGGACTAATGAAAGTATTTAGACAATTGGGCAGACTAGATGGCCCGAATGGTTCTTATCTGCCGTCACATTCTATGTTTCTATGACCGGGTGCAGAGACTGCGATCCCATCTGCCCCATCTGGGAGAATAAGGTCTGCCCTTTGAGAAATAAGCTGCCGCTGGGAGAGGTGGAAACCGGCTCCTCTCCCTGCTACTCTCTCCGATGTTGGAGAGGGGGACCGACTGTCTCCCCTTCCTGTAATACAGTCTGCCACTGGGGAGAGAAGGTGCTGTGCTCCTCTCCCTGAAACACAGGCTGCCGCTGGAGAGGGAGACCAACTGTCTCCACTCCCGTAACATTGTCCTGCTGCTGGGGAGAGAGACCATCTGTCTCTGCTCCCTGTAGGACACACTGCTGCTGGGGGAAGGACGACACCTCCAACCCCCTGGAACTCACACTGCCGCTGGGGAGGAAGGACGACACCTTTGGCTCCCTGGAACTCACATTGCCGCTGGGGAGGAAGGACGGCACCTTCAGCTCCCTGGAACTCACACTGCCACTGGGGAGGAAGGACGACACCTTCCGCTCCCTGGAACTCACACTGCCGCTGGGGAGGAAGGACGGCCCCTTTGGCTCCGTGGAATTCACACTGCCACTGGGGAGAAAGGATGACACCTTTGGTTCCCTGGAACTCACACTGCCGCTGGGGAGGAAGGACGACACCTTCGGCTCCCTGGGTCACACACTGCCGCTGGGGAGGAAGGACGACACCTTCGGCTCCCTGGGATACACACTGCCGCGGGGGAGGAAGGACAACACCTTCCGCTCCCTGGAACTCACACTGCCGCTGGGGAGGAAGGACGGCCCCTTTGGCTCCGTGGAATTCACACTGCCACTGGGGAGAAAGGATGACACCTTTGGTTCCCTGGAACTCACACTGCCGCTGGGGAGGAAGGACGACACCTTCGGCTCCCTGGGTCACACACTGCCGCTGGGGAGGAAGGACGACACCTTCGGCTCCCTGGGATACACACTGCCGCGGGGGAGGAAGGACAACACCTTCAGCTCCCTGGGGCGCACATTGCCGCTGGGGAGAGAGACCAGTTGTCCCCTCTCCCTGGAACTCACACTGCCATTGGGGAGGGAGGTCGATGACACTCACTCTGGGGTTTGGGATCTGGGCTGACTGCCCAGCATCCCTGTAGGGCCGGTAGAGAGACCTCGGTCCCATCTCTACCTGCTGGCTGGGGTTCCTCCCAGTAAACCTTTATGATATCCTTCCAGCTGAAGGGCTCTAGACCTGGTTCTGCTACCCAGTTCTCTA